GAGTGGTTGAGTGAGTGGCTGGGTGAGTGAGTGGCTGGGTGAGTGAGTGGCTGGGTGAGTGAGTGGCTGGGTGAGTGAGTGGCTTGGTGAGTGAGTGAGTGGTGAGTGAGTGGTTGAGTGAGTGGCTGGGTGAGTGAGTGGCTGGGTGAGTGAGTGGCTGGGTGAGTGAGTGGCTTGGTGAGTGAGTGAGTGGTGAGTGAGTGGTTGAGTGGGGTGGCTGGTGAGTGGCTGCGTGAGTGAGTGGCTGGGTGAGTGAGTGGCTGCGTGAGTGAGTGGCTGGGTGAGTGAGTGGCTGGGTGAGTGAGTGGCTGGGTGAGTGAGTGGCTGGGTGAGTGAGTGGCTTGGTGAGTGAGTGGTGAGTGAGTGGTTGAGTGAGTGGCTGGGTGAGGAGTGGCTGGGTGAGTGAGTGGCTGGGTGAGTGAGTGGCTGGTGAGTGAGTGAGTGGTGAGTGAGTGGTTGAGTGAGTGGCTGGGTGAGTGAGTGGCTGGGTGAGTGAGTGGCTGGGTGAGTGAGTGGCTGGGTGAGTAAGTGGCTGGGTGAGTGAGTGGCTGGGTGAGTGAGTGGCTGGGTGAGTGAGTGGCTGGGTGAGTGAGTGGCTGGGTGAGTGAGTGGCTGGGTGAGTGAGTGGCTGGGTGAGTGAGTGGCTGCGTGAGTGAGTGGCTGGGTGAGTGAGTGGCTGGGTGAGTGAGTGGCTGGGTGAGTGAGTGGCTGGGTGAGTGAGTGGCTGGGTGAGTGAGTGGCTGGGTGAGTGAGTGGCTGGGTGAGTGAGTGGCTGGGTGAGTGAGTGGCTGGGGAGTGAGTGCTGGGTGAGTGAGTGGCTGGGTGGGTGAGTGGCTGGGTGAGTGAGTGGCTGGGTGAGTGATGGCTGGGTGAGTGAGTGGCTGGGTGAGTGAGTGGCTGGGTGAGTGAGTGGCTGGGTGAGTGAGTGGCTGGGTGAGTGAGTGGCTGGGTGAGTGAGTGGCTGGGTGAGTGAGTGGCTGAGTGAGCGAGTGAGTGGGTGAGCGAGTGGTGAGTGAGTGAGCGAGTGAGTGGGTGAGCGAGTGGTGAGTGAGTGAGTGAGCGAGTGGGTGAGCGAGTGAGTGGGTGAGTGAGTGAGTAAACCGGTGTTTGAGTGAGCGAGTGGGTGAGCGAGTGGTGAATGAGTGAGTGGTGAGTGAGTGGTGAGTGAGTGAGTGAGCGAGTGGGTGAGTGAGTGAGTGGGTGGGTGAGTGAGTGAGCGAGTGGTGAGTGGTGAGTTGGTGAGCGAGTGGTGAGTGAGTGAGTGAGCGAGCGAGTGGGTGAGTGAGTGACTAGGTGAGTGAGCTGGTGAGTGAGTGACTAGGTGAGTGAGTGAGTGGCTGGGTGAGTGAGTGAGTGGGTGAGTGAGTGACTAGGTGAGTGAGCTGGTGAGTGAGTGGCTGGGTGAGTGAGTGGGTGAGTGAGTGAGTGACTAGGTGAGTGACTAGGTGAGTGACTAGGTGAGTGACTAGGTGAGTGAGTCACCTCTCCCGGCGAGAGTGCTCTCGTGCCTGAGTGAGTGACTAGGTGAGTGACTAGGTGAGTGACTAGGTGAGTGACCAGGTGAGTGAGTGACTAGGTGAGTAAGTGAGTGACACCTCTCTCTGCGCGAGCGCTCTCGTGCCTGGAGGCATCTCCTCTCCCTGCGTGAGTGAGTGACTAGGTGAGTGAGTGACTAAGTGAGTGACTAGGTGAGTGAGTGACTAGGTGAGTGAGTGGGTGAGTGAGTGACTAGGTGAGTGAGTGGGGTGAGTGAGTGACTAGGTGAGTGAGTGGGTGGCTAGGTGAGTGAGTGAGTGACTAAGTGAGTGAGTCACCTCTCCCTGCGCGAGCGCTCTCGTGCCTGGAGGCATCTCCTCTCCCTGCGTGAGTGAGTGACTAGGTGAGTGAGTGAGTGACTAAGTGAGTGACTAGTGAGTGAGTGACTAGGTGAGTGAGTGGGTGAGTGAGTGACTAGGTGAGTGAGTGGGTGAGTGAGTGACTAGGTGAGTGAGTGGGTGAGTGAGTGACTAGGTGAGTGAGTGGGTGGCTAGGTGAGTGAGTGAGTGACTAAGTGAGTGAGTGAGTCACCTCTCCCTGCGCGAGCGCTCTCGTGCCTGGAGGCATCTCCTCTCCCTGCGTGAGTGAGTGACTAGGTGAGTGAGTGAGTGACTAAGTGAGTGACTAGGTGAGTGAGTGACTAGGTGAGTGAGTGGGTGAGTGAGTGACTAGGTGAGTGAGTGGGTGAGTGAGTGACTAGGTGAGTGAGTGGGTGAGTGAGTGACTAGGTGAGTGAGTGGGTGGCTAGGTGAGTGAGTGAGTGACTAAGTGAGTGAGTGAGTCACCTCTCCCTGCGCGAGCGCTCTCGTGCCTGGAGGCATCTCCTCTCCCTGCGTGAGTGAGTGACTAGGTGAGTGAGTGACTAAGTGAGTGACTAGGTGAGTGAGTGACTAGGTGAGTGAGTGGGTGAGTGAGTGAGTGACTAGGTGAGTGAGTGGGTGAGTGAGTGACTAGGTGAGTGAGTGGGTGAGTGAGTGAGTGAGTGACTAGGTGAGTGAGTGAGTGACTAAGTGAGTGAGTGAGTCACCTCTCCCGGCGCGAGCGCTCTCGTGCCTGGAGGCATCTCCTCTCCCTGCGTGAGTGAGTGAGTGACTAGGTGAGTGAGTGAGTGACTAAGTGAGTGACTAGGTGAGTGAGTGACTAGGTGAGTGAGTGGGTGAGTGAGTGACTAGGTGAGTGAGTGGGTGAGTGAGTGACTAGATGAGTGAGTGGGTGAGTGAGTGACTAGGTGAGTGAGTGGGTGGCTAGGTGAGTGAGTGACTAGGTGAGTGAGTGAGTCACCTCTCCCTGCGTGAGCGCTCTCGTGCCTGGGTGAGCGAGCTGGTGAGTGACTAGGTGAGTGAGGGACTAGGTGAGTGAGTGAGTGACTAGGTGAGTGAGTGAGTGACTAGGTGAGTGAGTCACCTCTCCCTGCGCGAGCGCTCTCGTGCCTGGGTGAGCGAGCTGGTGAGTGACTAGGTGAGTGAGTGACTAGGTGAGTGAGTGACTAGGTGAGTGAGTGAGTCACCTCTCCCTGCGCGAGCGCTCTCGTGCCTGGGTGAGCGAGCTGGTGAGTGACTAGGTGAGTGAGTGAGTGACTAGGTGAGTGAGTGAGTCACCTCTCCCGGCGTGAGTGAGTGACTAGGTGAGTGAGTGAGTGAGTGGTGAGTGAGTGAGTGGCTAGGTGAGTGACTAGGTGAGTGAGTGAGTCACCTCTCCCGGCGCGAGCGCTCTCGTGCCTGAGTGAGTGACTAGGTGAGTGAGTGAGTGACTAGGTGAGTGAGTCACCTCTCCCTGCGTGAGCGCTCTCGTGCCTGGGTGAGTGAGTGGTGAGTGAGTGAGTGACTAGGTGAGTGACTAGGTGAGTCACCTCTCTTTGCGTGAGCGCTCTCGTGCCTGGGTGAGCGAGCTGGTGAGTGACTAGGTGAGTGAGTGAGTGGGTGAGTGAGTGGCTAGGTGAGTGACTAGGTGAGCGAGCTGGTGCGTGAGTGACTAGGTGAGTGACTAGGTGAGTGAGTGAGTGACTAAGTGAGTGAGTGAGTCACCTCTCCCTGCGTGAGCGCTCTCGTGCCTGGGTGAGCGAGCTGGTGAGTGACTAGGTGAGTGAGTGGGTGAGTGAGTGGCTAGGTGAGTGACTAGGTGAGCGAGCTGGTGCGTGAGTGACTAGGTGAGTGACTAGGTGAGCGAGTGAGTGACTAGGTGAGTGACTAGGTGTTCCTCACCTCTCCCTGCGTGAGCGCTCTCGTGCCTGGGTGAGCGAGCTGGTGAGTGACTAGGTGAGTGAGTGAGTGAGTGGGTGAGTGAGTGGCTAGGTGAGTGACTAGGTGAGCGAGCTGGTGAGTGAGTGACTAGGTGAGTGACTAGGTGAGCGAGTGAGTGACTAGGTGAGTGACTAGGTGAGTCACCTCTCCCTGCGTGAGCGCTCTCGTGCCTGGGTGAGCGAGCTGGTGAGTGACTAGGTGAGTGAGTGAGTGGCTAGTGGGGTGAGTGAGTGGCTAGGTGAGTGACTAGGTGAGCGAGCTGGTGCGTGAGTGACTAGGTGAGTGACTAGGTGAGTGAGTGAGTGACTATGTGAGTGACTAGGTGAGTCACCTCTCTCTGCGTGAGCGCTCTCGTGCCTGGGTGAGCGAGCTGGTGAGTGACTAGGTGAGTGAGTGAGTGGGTGAGTGAGTGGCTAGGTGAGTGACTAGGTGAGCGAGCTGGTGCGTGAGTGACTAGGTGAGTGACTAGGTGAGTGAGTGAGTGACTAGGTGAGTGAGTGGGTGAGTGAGTGGCTAGGTGAGTGACTAGGTGAGCGAGCTGGTGCGTGAGTGACTAGGTGAGTGACTAGGTGAGCGAGTGAGTGACTAGGTGAGTGACTAGGTGAGTCACCTCTCTCTGCGTGAGCGCTCTCGTGCCTGGGTGAGCGAGCTGGTGAGTGACTAGGTGAGTGAGTGAGTGGGTGAGTGAGTGGCTAGGTGAGTGACTAGGTGAGCGAGCTGGTGCGTGAGTGACTAGGTGAGTGACTAGGTGAGTGAGTGAGTGACTAGGTGTTCCTCACCTCTCCCTGCGTGAGCGCTCTCGTGCCTGGGTGAGCGAGCTGGTGAGTGACTAGGTGAGTGAGTGAGTGGGTGAGTGAGTGGCTAGGTGAGTGACTAGGTGAGCGAGCTGGTGAGTGAGTGACTAGGTGAGTGACTAGGTGAGTGAGTGACTAGGTGAGTGACTAGGTGAGTCACCTCTCCCGGCGCGAGCGCTCTCGTGCCTGAGTGAGTGACTAGGTGAGCGAGTGACTAGGTGGGTGAGTGGTGAGTGAGTGGGTGAGTGAGTCACCTCTCCCGGCGCGAGCGCTCTCGTGCCTGAGTGAGTGACTAGGTGAGCGAGTGACTAGGTGGGTGAGTGGTGAGTGAGTGGGTGAGTGAGTCACCTCTCCCTGCGTGAGCGCTCTCGTGCCTGGGTGAGTGAGTGGTGAGTGAGTGAGTGACTAGGTGAGTGACTAGGTGAGTCACCTCTCTCTGCGTGAGCGCTCTCGTGCCTGGAGTCTCCTCCTCTCCCGCTCCGCCTCCCGTCGCCCCAAGCCGCCGATCCTCTCGTCGTCACGGCGACGCTCGTCACCACCACTGCCACCACCGCCGCCACCACCACCTTTACCACGGCCTGTCCACAACCACCACCACAACCATCACAACCACCACAACCACCACCACCACAGCCACAACCGCCACAACCACCGTCACAACCACCACAACCACCACCACAACCACCACCGTCACAACCACCACAACCACCACCACATCCACCACCGTCACAACCACCACCGTCACAACCACCACCGCCACCACCACTACCACGGCCGTCACAACCACCACTGTCACAACCATCACAACCACCACCGCCACCACCACAGCCACAACCACCACAACCACCACCGTCGTAACCACCACCGTCACAGCCACCACCACAACCATCACCACCACCACCACCCACACCACCACCACCACCACGGCCTAACCACAACCACAGTCACAACAAGCGTCAAAGCCACAACCACCACCACCACAACCAGTGGCTATGATGATGACAACGATGACAACGATGACAATGACGGTAACGATGATGATGACGATAACGATGGTGATGACAATGATGACGATGACGATGATGAAGATGATGATGACGTTAATGATGATGATGACGATGATGGTCATGATGACGATGATGAAGATGATGATGACGTTAATGATGATGATGACGATGATGGTGATGACGTTAATGATGATGACGATGATGGTGATGATGATGACGATGATGGTGATGATGATGACGATGATGACGTTAATGATGATGACGATGATGGTGATGATGATGACGATGATGGTGATGATGATGACGATGATGACGTTAATGATGATGACGATGATGGTGATGATGACAACGATGATGACGTTAATGATGATGACGATGATGGTGATGATGACGATGATGATGACGATGATGACGACGTTAATGATGATGACGATGATGATGACGATGATGATGATGACGACGTTAATGATGATGACGATGATGATGATGATGATGACGACGTTAATGATGATGACGATGATGATGACGATGATGACGACGATGACGATGATGATGACGATGATGATGACGATGATGATGATGATGACGACGTTAATGATGATGACGACGATGACGATGATGACGATGATGTTGAAGATGACGACGTTAATGATGATGACGACGATGACGATGACCACGAACCCCTCACCGCTAGCACCACCACCACCACCTCCGTTGTTGTTGACCGCCACCACCGCCGCCACCGTCACCGCGGCCGCCGTCACCGCCACCGCCGAGGTCACCGAGGTCGCCGAGGTCACCGAGGTCACAGAGGTCACCGCGTGAGGCGAACGGCTTCGGTGTCTCCGCAGCTGTTTGTGCGAACGCGAGTCTCCGCTACCCGCACTGCTACGGTTGTTGCTGCTGTTGTGGTGGTGGCTACCACCACCACCGCCGCCACCACCGCCACCACCGCTGCGGTGGTGGCGGTGGCGGTCGTGGCGGCCGTGGTGGTGTGAGCGGGAGGAGGATGTTGTTGACGATGGTGCCGAGTGGTGGTGTTGTTGTTGATGTTGTTGATGTTGTTGTTGTTGTTGTTGTTTACGGGACGAGGAGGGAGCTTGCAGTTGAGGTGGGTGGATTGACAGAGTGTCGTCCTCCTCCATCCTGCAGATGCCACCACCAACAACAACAACAACAACAACAACAACCACAACAACCACCACCACAACAAGCACAACCACAATAATCACAAGCACAATCACCACAACAATCACCACCACAATAACCACAACAATCACAACAACCACCACCACAACAAGCACAACCACAATAATCACAAGCACAATCACCACAGCAATCACCACCACAATAACCACAACAATCACAACAACCACCACCACAACAAGCACAACCACAATAATCACAAGCACAATAACCACAACAATCACCACCACAATAACCACAACAATCACAACAACCACCACCACAACAAGCACAACCACAATAATCACAAGCACAATAACCACAACAATCACCACCACAATAACCACAACAACCACCACCACCACCACAAGCACAACCACAATAATCACAAGCACAACCACAATCACAACAATCACCACTACAATAACCACAACAACCACCACCACAACAACCACCACCACCACCACAATCACAACAAGCACAATCACAACAACCACGATAACTACAACAATAACACAACTACCACCACCACGATTACCACAACAACAAACACAACCACAATAACCACAACAACCACCACCACCACCACAACAAGCACAACCACAATCACAAGCACAACCACAATCACAACAAGCACAATCACAATAACCACAACAATCATAACAACCACAATAACCACAACAACCACCACCACCACCACAGAACCACCACCACAAGCACAACAAGCACAACCACAATAACCACAATTACAACCACGATTACCACAACAATAACACAACAACTACCACCACCAAACAATCACTACACAACCTCCACCACGATTATCACCAACACCGCTATCACCACAACACAACAACCCCGATTACCACAACAATAACCACAACAACAACCACCACCACCACTGCACAACCGCCACCACCTTTCACCACGATCAGTAACACCACAACCACGATCACCACAACAGTAACACGACATTAATTCTAGATTTGAAACTTTCGTGACTGCAAGGATCCATATTCTTAGGTTTTTTCGGTAAAGTCACCAGGCAGGTAAAACATTAAAAGTTAAATGAATAAAAGTGAAACAAAATATAAAATAAAAATCACGACATTTTTCTTTTATTAATTGAAATGTTTTACCGACGCGACTTTACCGAAAAAACCTAAGAATAGTAACACAACTACTACCACCATCGCCACCACCACAATCACAAGCACAACCACAATAACCACAACAATCATAACAACTACAATAACCACAACAATCACCACCACCACAACAACCACCACCACAATCACAACAAGCACAACCACAATAACCACAACAATCATAACAACCACAATAACCACAACAATCACCACCACCACAACAACCACCACCACAATCACAACAAGCACAACCACAATAACCACAACAATCATAACAACCACAATAACCACAACAATCACCACCACCACAACAACCACCACCACAATCACAACAAGCACAACCACAATAACCACAACAATCACTACCACCACAACCACCACTACCTCCACCGCAATTACCACCACAACAACCACAATTACAACCACGATTACCACAACAATAAGTCAACAACCACCACCACCAACACCACCAGCCACAACCGCCACCACCACCACCACGATCAGTAACACCACAACCACAATTACCACAACAATAACACAACAACCACCAACACCGCCACCACCACCACAACACAACAGCCACTATCACTGCTTCATGAATGCGGGTTGTTGTTGTTGATTGTTGTTGTTGATTGTTGTTGTTGTTGTTGATTGTTGTTGTTGTTGTTGATTGTTGTTGTTGTTGTTGAAGTAGAAGACCAGTTACCTGTCCTCCAGGCTGTCCTCGCGCTGGAAGGGCGAGTGGGAGCCGATGGTCGCGTCCGGACGGTCACTCCTCTCCCTCAACTCACCCTCTTCCAGGGGGTCCGCTCCCCGTGACATCTCCATGTCCACCACGATCTACACACAGAGAGAGAGTTAGAGAGACAGATACAGAGAGACACACAGAGAGACAGAGAGATACACAGATAGATACACACAGAGAGAGACACAGAGAGATACACAGAGAGATACACAGAGAGAGAGTTAGAGAGACAGATACAGAGAGACACACAGAGAGACAGAGAGATACACAGAGAGAGACACAGAGAGAGACACAGAGAGATACACAGAGAGATACACAGAGAGAGAGTTAGAGAGACAGATACAGAGAGACACACAGAGAGACAGAGAGATACACAGATAGATACACACAGAGAGAGACACAGAGAGAGACACAGAGAGATACACAGAGAGATACACAGAGAGAGAGTTAGAGAGACAGATACAGAGAGACACACAGAGAGACAGAGAGATACACAGATAGATACACACAGAGAGATACACAGAGAGAGACACAGAGAGATACACAGAGAGATACACAGAGAGAGACACAGAGAGATACACGCACAGAGACATACACAGAGAGAGAGTTAGAGAGACAGATACAGAGAGACACACAGAGAGACAGAGAGATACACAGATAGATACACACAGAGAGAGACACAGAGAGAGACACAGAGAGATACACAGAGAGATACACAGAGAGAGACACAGAGAGATACACAGAGAGATACACAGAGAGAGAGTTAGAGAGAGAGATACAGAGAGACACACAGAGAGACAGAGAGATACACAGAGAGATACACACAGAGAGAGACACAGAGAGATACACAGAGAGATACACAGAGAGAGAGTTAGAGAGAGAGATACAGAGAGACACACAGAGAGACAGAGAGATACACAGAGAGATACACACAGAGAGAGACACAGAGAGATACACAGAGAGATACACAGAGAGAGAGTTAGAGAGAGAGATACAGAGAGACACACAGAGAGACAGAGAGATACACAGAGAGATACACACAGAGAGAGACACAGAGAGATACACAGAGAGATACACAGAGAGAGAGTTAGAGAGAGAGATACAGAGAGACACACAGAGAGACAGAGAGATACACAGAGAGATACACACAGAGAGAGACACAGAGAGACACAGATAGAGAGTTAGAGAGAGAGATACAGAGATACACAGAGAGATACACAGCGATAGATACAGAGAGATACACAGAGAGATACACAGAGAGATACACAGAGATACAGAGAGATACACAGAGACAGATACAGACAGAGAGAGAGATATACAGAGAGAGATACACAGAGATACACACAGAGATACAGAGAGAGACACAGAGATACACACAGAGAGACACAGAGAGATACACAGAGAGAGATACACACAGTGATAGATACACAGAGATACACAGAAACAGATACACACAGAGATACAGAGAGATACACAGAGATACAGAGAGAGATACACACAGTGATAGATACACAGAGATACACAGAAACAGATACACACAGAGATACAGAGAGAGATACACACAGTGATAGATACACAGAGATACACAGAGACAGATACACAGTGAGAGATACACACAGAGATACACAGAGAGAGATACACAGAGAAAGAGATACACACAGAGATACATACAGAGAGAGATACACACACAGAGACAGCTACACACATTTGACTCACTCTATCCCGAGGGGCAACTTTAGGTCATAGAAGGCATCTGACTCATCGGCTTTGCCCGCATCCTTCCGCGGATGTTCGTCTTCGGTGGGGGCATAAGTAACCACGACCACCACTCCTCGCCTCCGGTTGATGGGAAGGCGAGCCCAAAGTAGCCTGGGGCTTACAGCTTCCCACACCTCACCACCACGCTCCCACGCCCCCTTCATTCTTTTGTTCAGAAGAAGAGCCACACCCTGTTGTTTGGCAGTCTCCTGCCCCGAGTAGAGGACTGTCCACCCCTCATGGTGGCAGGAGCCAGAGCCGGTCCACCGGACCTCCTGAATGCCGCAGAAATCCAGGCGGTATCGATCCAGCTCCCGACAGAGGAGTGGCAGCTTCTCCTCCGCAGTGAGCGTTCGAACAATTCCACGTGGCCACACGCAGTGGATTTTGTTGTGGCAGGAGCCGGTCCAACGGACCTCCTGACTGCCGCAGAGATCCAGGCGGTACCGGTCCAGCTCCCGACAGAGGAATGGCAGCCTCTCCTCCGCAGTGAGCATTCGAACAATTCCACGTAGCCACCCACGGCAGCTTTTTGTCGTGGCAGGAGCCGGAGCCGGTCCACTGGACCTCCTGACTGCCGCAGAGATCCGGGCGGTACCGGTCCAGCTCCTGACAGAGGAGTGGCAGCCTCTCCTCCGCAGTGAGCGTTCAAAGATTCCACGTGGCCACACGAAGTGGCTTTTTGCCGTGGCAGGAGCCGGTCCAACGGACCTCCTGACTGCCGCAGAGATCCAGGCGGTACCGGTCCAGCTCCCGACAGAGGAATGGCAGCCTCTCCTCCGCAGTGAGCATTCGAACAATTCCACGTAGCCACCCACGGCAGCTTTTTGTCGTGGCAGGAGCCGGAGCCGGTCCACCGGACCTCCTGACTGCCGCAGAGATCCGGGCGGTACCGGTCCAGCTCCTGACAGAGTGGCAGCCTCTCCTCTGCAGGGAGCGTTCAAAGATTCCACGTGGCCACACGAAGTGGCTTTTTGCCGTGGCAGGAGCCGGTCCATCGGACCTCCCGAATGCCACAGAGATCCAGGCGGTACCGGTCCAGCTCCTGACAGAGGAGTGGCAGCCTCTCCTCCGCAGTGAGCATTCGAACAATTCCACGTAGCCACCCACGGCAGCTTTTTGTCGTGGCAGGAGCCGGAGCCGGTCCACCGGACCTCCTGACTGCCGCAGAGATCCAGGCGGTACCGGTCCAGCTCCTGACAGAGGAGTGGCAGCCTCTCCTCTGCAGTGAGCGTTGCAACATTCCACGTGGCCATCCGCAATGGCTTTTTGTTGTGGCAGGAGCCGGTCCATCGGACCTCCTGACTGCCGCAGAGATCCGGACGGTACTGGTCCAGCTCCTGACAGAGGAGTGGCAGCCTCTCCTCCGCAGCTCTCTCTCCCAATGTGTCTGTGTCTCTCTCTTCTCACCGTGTCTCTCTCTCACCGTGTCTCTCTCTCTCACCGTGTCTCTCTCTCCCCGTGTGTCTCTTTCTCTCACTGTGTCTCTTTCTCTCCGTGTCTCTCTCTCTCTCTCTCACCGTGTCTCTCCCTCTCTCTCCCCGTGTGTCTCTCTCTTCCAGTGTGTCTCTCTCCCCGTGTGTCTCTCTCTCTCTCTCCCCGTGTGTCTCTTTCTCTCCGTGTCTCTCTCTCTCTCTCACCGTGTCTCTCCCTCTCTCTCCCCGTGTGTCTCTCTCTCCCCGTGTCTCTCTCTCACCGTGTCTCTCTTTCTCTCACCATGTCTCTTTCTCACCGTGTCTCTCTCTCTCTCTCACCGTGTCTCTCCCTCTCTCCCCGTGTGTCTCTCTCTCTCCGTGTCTCTCTCCCCGTGTGTCTCTCTCTCCCCGTGTGTCTCTTTCTCTCACCGTGTCTCTTTCTCTCCGTGTCTCTCTCTCTCTCTCACAGTCTCTCTCTCTCTCCCCATGTGTCTCTCCCTCTCCCCGCGTGTGCGTCACTCACATGCGTAGCTGCAGCTGTTGCTTCTGTGCTGTCTCCGCTGTGATGCTGTCTCCCTCCGCGTGTCGTCTCCGTGTCTCCGCGCGATGTCTCTCTCCCCGTGTCTCCGCGCGATGTCTCTCTCACCGGCTCTCTCACCGGCTCTCTCACCGTCTCTCTCACCGTCTCTCTCACCGGCTCTCTCACCGACTCTCTCACCCCCGTATCTCCCCTCC